TCAGCGTTTCGCAGAACTCCACTCGACCATCTTAGCTTCAAGGTTTGATGTCATTTTTGACAAAAAGTGGTGTTACCGCCCAACATCTTGTCTCCCCAAAAGAATGCCATGCATACTATTGAAGAAGCGCCTTTGAGTACAGCCCTCAGCTTGAGGAAAAGATGATGACGTCACCGTCTGCCGCTGTGGGCTGTCTGGTATCTCTTTCTCACAGGCGGCGATTGCCACCTCTTTGCCAGCAAAAGAGTGAGAGGTAGCAAGGGTTCAGGGTAGTCAGCTTCTCCCGATCCATCCCATCCCTCAATTCAATATCATGCATACATTTCAGGATGCGGAGGTGTTTGACGTCAGGTGCAAGGGATCTGTCGCAAATCCGAACAAGTAGCAAGACTACTGCGCTTCGCCGCCTTTTGGTAGGTGATGGTCGATCCCGGCACAAACCGGAAGCCTTATGACAGCCATCCTGAGGCCAAAGCGCTTGAGTTTAATGACAGGTGCTTAAGGGAGAGTGGTGGAGGTGATCTCCGAAATAATCCCTGAGCCATCCTTACACTCACTCCCTCTTTTCCTAGGCAGCGGTAAGTTTAGCCTCCTAAGGGTTCGCAATCCACGAAGACCATACTTCGGCCTCCAAACTTGTTTGGTTGTATGTGAGAAATGTAAGAAATCTACCAGGTGCATCGTAGGCAAGGAGTGAATGGACCCTACGCTGGCCGAACAAGCATCATTGTAATATGCAACGGTGTGGGTCTAGGAGTCTAAGATCGAAGTTTGTTTAGGGTTTAGAAGCCTGAGTTCGTTTAAGTGATATGACACACGCTGCGTTTTGTAATGATGTTGGATGGTCATGGTACATGGGACCCTTTGATTGATTTCTGTCAACTTTCTGAGAGAGGCTCACCTGCCAACCACATCCTTTTCCTGGTGCTTTGTAGGGAATGGCGGTGTGGTTTACGAAGAGAGAGATTTCAAAAGGTGATCGGGCTACTCCCAAACTGCATCCCTTCTTCCTTGCTAAGTGCCAGGAAGGCCTAGTTGAATCCTCGCTGTCAATAATTTCAATGCCGGAGAGGCCAAATGTGGATTACCAGAGGTGCAGAAAGTAGGATAGTTCTAGTTTGTACCGGAATTGCTTGCGATGTTTCTAACCCTGCGTATAAATGGCATGAGCCTCCAAGCAAGCACCCTCCTGAACCTACTGTACCCTTTTGCCGTGCTCGTGCGGCGTGCCTATGTGTCAATGTGCAGAACTGATGGCTTTGGCTGGCAGGAGAGAGCTCGGCCTTAGTGAGACATCGCCTTCCGGTTTGTGTGGCAAGGATGGCTGTGACCAAAGTTGTAGAGCTGGTGGTCATGCTGACCATGTTTGCTGGAGTTTCAGCAACGCCAAAAGGGCTTCGTGGACTTCAAAATAGTTCGACAAACAGCTCAAATAGGTCATTGCTGGGCTCTGCATCCTCTGCCCAGCCAGGTTGCTGTGGTGGCTGCCCAACTTCATTCTGCTCACCCAACAGTGGCACATGCTACGACCAGAAGGGCAAGGATTACTACTTGGCGTGCAACAGCAACAGATTTCCAAGCTGCTGCAACTCTTGCGGCCAGTCAGCCTTCTGCTCTCCCAACAGTGGCACATGCTACGACCAGAAGGGCAAGGATTACTACTTGGCGTGCAACAGCAACAGATTTCCAAGCTGCTGCAACTCTTGCGGCCAGTCAGCCTTCTGCTCTCCCAACAGTGGTCGGTGCTATGACGCCAAGGGGAAGGACTACTACTTGGAATGTGCTTTGGAGCAGCCTTCGGAGCAGCCTGCTGCTTCAACCCAGGCGCCCGAGGGAGGCATGACTTTCTATTATGCAGGCCATCGAGGATGCAACTTCCAGACTTCCAACCGCTTGACGTACCTCACTACCAGCAGCGCTGGTGACTGCCGTGGCGCCTGTCAAGGCACTCCCGGCTGCTCAGTCTTCATCTACAGCTTCGCGAACAATCCATGTGGCATGGAAGGCGAGTGTCAGCTCTTCCAGACTTGCCAGGCAGAGGAGAACCCTTGTTGGCAGCAGTTTGTCCTGGACTGAGTCCTGCAGTTTTCGTGCAAAGTGTAATTTGCCAAGGATGTACAGACGCTTGGCTGTGCCAATGAAGTTCCTCTTGCTACCGCTAGGAACACAATAGGAACGCAAAAGGAACGCAGATGGCCATCTGACCGGAGCAAGAGACCTGGTCTACAGTTTTTGCTTATGGATCAGACTGAAACAATATGTCTGCGCCAGTGCAAACGGAGCTGATGACCCTGCAAAAAGGGTGAGATTGCCGTGCTAGCATCTAGAATGATAAATCCCTGAAATGCAGCACCTCGACATGGCATGAGTTGACGAGGCCTCGCCGTGTAACGATCTCGATTCTTGGAGCCACGGATGGTGTCTTCTTGCCACTTGGGCTTCAGTCACGAGGCCCTCGGGCCGCTACGGGCTATTATGAAAGTTGTTAATATCAATACTTATAGAAGCCTTGATCTCCGCTTCTCTCTGCTCAGTAATTGCAATGTATCTCGAGTGTCCCCCAATTTGAAAATCCCAAGGCTCCAAACCCCGTCTTCCTATCCTCCTATCTTCGAGAGACCTCTTATTCCTTTCAAGTCCATACATTGAAGACCCCTTCTTGCAGAAGCAGCTGACACCTGCTAAGGAAATCTGCCCAGCCACAGAGGAGGCCACAAGTGAGACCGAGTTCTCGCCGTTTGGCTCAGGCAGGCAGCAGGGTCTCTGTAGAGATTTGGTACTTTCCTTGGTTGAATAGGGGCACACCTCAAAATAGTATAGCCATTCTGGGGACCCCCAAAAAATAAGACTAATTTTGGGAAACCCCCTTTTAAGATGATCTCGGGAGACATAAGGATACAAAGGCACAGGGACGGATATGCAGTGATACAAAGGGAAATGTAGGGTTGCCCAGTTGCACAGGAATTTATAGTGATATGCAGGGATACACAGGCATACATAGGGTGTTGTTAGGGTTTGAAGGCTTGTGAGGGTTAGGGGCTTAGGAGTAAGGGCAACAACTTACGTTTTGCTCCTGCTGTTATCGGACTATATGCTTCTGACAAGATGATTCTTGAGATAAACAAGGGACCTTATTCAAGTGGGGGTCTTGGTTGCCCCCGCCTTCAAAACAGACCCTAGACCCCAAACCCTAAGGGTAGCAAAGGGGATCATCTTTTTCCAGACTGGAAAAAGTGGAGTCTGCAGGTGGCCACTGCAAGGATGGGCTTCTGCGGAAGGCAAAGGCCGTGCCAAGCTCCTTGCTGCCTGGAAGAGAGGGTTCCTTCTTTTCTGGTGAAGGGTTATCGCGTACTCCCTATGCATATGCTCCCCAAAAGCCCTCTCCCCAAGCTTCTGCTAAATGCTCACCAGAAGTAGAAGGTGAGGTGATGTTAGCCTCTGGCATGTTCCCAAGGCATCAGTGGGTGCCAGAAGATCTGCGGGCGCGAGGCTGACTGTCGCTACTTTTCCTACAACGAGGGAGGCCGGGTAAATTGCTCATGGTCTTCTCCGTTTTAGGCTCGTTCTTCAGCTGAGCGCAGGTACGGACACTTCTGAGTATGGCGCCTGCATGCGCTACTCCAAGTGTCAGGCCAGGTTGAGACTCTGAGATGTCGCTGTGGGCAAGCTGTTTGTCTTCCCATGTGGGTTGTTCTTCAAATTCTGGCCATACAATTGCTCTTATTGACTGTTCCTATAGAGAGCTAGCTAATTACTATTACAGCTTAATGTTGGAGATTGCCCATGTGTGCTGTTCTTGCGCGAAACAGCTCTGCTCAGGAGGAGTCACTTGTGGTCCCTGGCAACACCATGTTTACAACTTTTGAGCTGCTCAGCGGAGTTCGGAGAGAACGGGGAAGGGGTTGTGGTTGCTCCTTCTTGGGCAGACAGGTTGCCCACGGGTTGTCTGTGCGATCAAGGAAGAGTTCGAAGGGCCGAGACAAGCCGCCTTCCTGGCGCCTTCTTACCACCTCGACATTCCGTCGTGGTGCAAAGCAGGAACGATGCTTGGCCCCAGAAAGTTGAGCCATGACGTCAGTGGGATTCGTGTCTGATGTACTCATTGAGCCCAGGAAATTGTTGGAAGATCTCGAAGCTTCAGTTTTTCGAGCCTCGTCATGGATGATATTGGATGATCATCTCGTGAAATGGCTAGCATTGTCCTGCAAACGCAAGCGTACCTTCCGAGTGACTTCTGAGAGCCTTCGCCGGACTGCATTGCTTCAGACCCCACTGCCATTGTCGTGGCCTTTTACTTGAAGATTTTTAGGTGGTGATGCCGCTTTCGATACCCCCAAGAAGGAAACTGGTATCAACATAGCCCCACTCATGACTACCGACAGCCCATGAACTCCCAAGCAGCCAACCATGGTGCAGCAATTGAGGCCAGCGAAGACTGCAGCTCCCTCGAGTTTGGGTGACTTGGCTCATTCTGATGCTTGCAGATCCCGTTCACCTATTGTCGGTTGGCGGACAGGAATAGGCGAGTGACTTTTATGTAGCTGATCAGCTGCTCTCGCTTTTAGTTGTGTCTTGAACCTGCTGTTGATCAACAGCATAAATGGTCCGATGCCATTCTGACTGTAGATCGGACCGCTCGGTCCTGGAAGAGTTCCCAACCTGGCCCCCGTTGAATATTGTTGTGGAAAGCTCGGGGGGCTTCTTTCGCCTTGGTCTGAACTTGCGAGTGATTCGGGTGGGATGCACAGCTCAGCTTTTGGTTGTTGCAGGGATCGTAAACATGAGGCTCCATGTTCATTGAGGGTGAGGAGGGGTCGTTCCTGAGATGGGTTCCTGCTTGTGATGATTTCTCCTCGACCCCGTCTACACCGTGAATCAGACTAGCAGAAAGGATGTGGTTGGCTGTCAAGCTTGTTGTCCCCTTGTGAGTCCCCAATGTAGTTGGGCCCCTACGTCATATTAGGTTACCCAGTCGATGTCAGTTCTCGTGCCGTGTCCAGGATCGCGCCCGACAAGCAGATCGTAAGCGGCCTAGCCCAAGGCCAGCCGTGTATTGACATATTGCAATGCCAGAAGTCAGCTTCCCAAAGCCATGATGAGTCCCTCGCTCCCTCAGTTTGAGGGATTGGAGTAGATTGGCGGGGGTCATTCCTGAGATGCTTGTATTGAACAACAGTGTTTGCAGTGCTTGGCACTGGAGGATTCGAGCTGAGCCACGTCTTCGGTCAGGACTTGAAAAGCATTGCTTTGCCTTTCATGAAGTTCTCGACATTCTGAGCACACGTCAACAAGGCCTGTAATGAGGATCCGCGTTTGTCAGGCGTGTACTGATCATTTCTGACTTTCAGAAATGCCTTTGCAACCGCTTTCCTGTTGCCAGCTACCAGGACGGCACGTCGGCGGAGCTGCGCTCCGCTGACGGCGATTTCGGATCCAGCGAGGTGTTTCCCTGCACCCGTAGCATTTTGGTATTTCTCAAGACAAGGCTCAGGCATTCCAAGTAAAGACCTTGCATGCCATCAACATCATTTCGGCCCACAACCAAGGACCCGGACTTCTGAGACAGTCTCATGTTTTTCTACTTGGACTCGCATTCCACCGATTGATTCTGATGCAAAATCCTTGGAATCTCTAAACGGGACCATACCGCTCGTCTAGAATCATCTGCCAAAGCTACCAATCTGCGAGGTTTTGGTGTATGGGGGATGGACAGAAGAATGGAGGTCCGGAATCAGGGTTTTTGGTATTTGTCCGGAACACCAGATACACACCAAGAAACATCTCGCACCAGAATTGGCCTTTCCGCAGTTTTCTATGACAGCTGGGGTCGGAAACAACATCTCCACCTTTACTCATGCAACTTATTGAATTGATGCGTGTGCAGAGCTAGGTAGGAAAATCAAGTTACAACCACGTGATGTCCTATGGTGTCTTGTCGTTGCTACAGCAATAATAGCATGTCGTAATGTACTTGCCCAGATTCAGAGTACTGGACAACTTTTGTTGCTACGCGTGGTAGGTGTTTCAATGTGCAGTTTGCTTCTCTTTTGTGTGCAGCCAGGTGTCTTGTCACCCACTCATGGATACACTGGATCCCGATTTTCCATCCAGTAGTTTGGCCAGGTTTGGATCGGAGCCCGAGAGCTTGGTGGCCCGGCCCTCGGCCCTCATGTCGTGTGAGGTTTAGGCAGAGTCCACAAGCAGCCGGGCTTGGCAATGCCACCTGAAATCGTGTTTGCCGTTGGTCCGGAGGTGTTCGCTGCATCCGGTTTGTGCAGGAGCCCTCCAGTGATGCGAGATTGCATCCGTCAACACGGGTGCCTTTTGATCCATCCTTCTCTCATAATCCTATTAAAATGCACACCAAAAGTTTAGTCAGTCTGTAGAAGGGACAGGCAAAGGGGAAAGAGCTAGACAACAGCCGGCAGTGATCCCAAAGATTTCAGCCAACGTTGACAGACAAGTGATTCAGGAGCCTTCCACACCAGCGGGAGCCAAGCAGAGTGGGGTGGGCTGCCGGCCACTCTCGAACCTGGAAGTGCAGCAGCTCGGGCTTACTTCTGTTGCAAGTGGTCCCCAAACAGAGTATCATTGTTATCATAGATACTTCCAACCATGGACCCCTGCTAAAAAAGATTAGGGCACTTTAGAGAAGGCAAGCAAGTGCTTTGCACGGAGGATTGGTGATTTTGATGGCGGCAACTGGAAAACGGTCGCCTCTGTTCCATGGAGTGTGAAGAAGGATGGTGCGGGGAGCTCAGTGGGATTCAGCCCTTGCCAGCCATGTCATCTACCTTCCAGATCTTCGAGAGCGAGAGAGAGAGCCAGAGACGTCAACACATTTCCATAGCCTGAACGAAAGAAAGAAAGAAAGAGGTCAACACATTCCCGAATCTGGACCGCGCTGGTGCGGCCGTGTTCACCCTCGACACGTCCTTGGCGCCGCCCAAGGCAAGATGCATGAAAGCCGCCTTCAGCTCTGCAACACGAAAGTGTTTTCCATGCAGCCTACCAGCTTGTGAACCCATGTTCCCTTAAGACACCCTGTTTCCCAAGAATTTCGGACCATGGCAGACTCTCACGTGCGTCTTCCAGATCAATGACCATCTGAGATCCATTCTGAATCTCGCCAGTACGTCTGTGACTCCTTTCCGGGCTGGTTGATGTCCAACGACGTGCAACATGTGCAATGTGGCGTGGGGAAATTCGCCATTTAAGGTATGGTGGCGTTGACTTGATGTCGCTGGCCGGGATGGGCGAAGGCACGGGTCATTTAAAGATTTGAGCATACCCTCAACAGGAGAGGATCCTTTCCGAAGGAGCCCCACAAAAACGAACCATCGCTACCAAGCCAGGAGATTCCGAGAAGCTGCGCATCATCAGCTTTGCGGTAAAGCCAGGCCAGAGCGGCATCCCACAGTTGTTTGGCCTTTTTTTGCTCAAGTTTAGTTAGATGAAGTTAGGCGCCTACCTCGTCATCACGGGCGAAGATGCTGAGGCACCATCAGATTTGCAAAGGCCGCCCAGCGCCAGTGTAGAAAACTCACAAGCGCTTGCAGGGCGACTTCCACGACACAGGCGGTTTCTGGGCAGACTGTGGCAGCGCGGCTCCGGGATGGTCACCGGGCAGCGTGGGGTAGCGAGGGTCGAGCGGCAGCGAGAGCTGAGTGATCTTGTGTGCACGATTCATGAACCCATGAATGCTTTCCAAGCAGCATGCTACCGGTGGAAGAGCTGAGGGATTTGCAGAACAGATGGGAGCTCTACTGTAGCAACAGCAAGATCGACGCGCCTTGGGCTGCAAGGGCCGCGGACTGATTCTTAAGGCCTCCTTTCAATCCGAGAGAAAGGGAGATGTTCTGCCTTACCCAAGAGGAAGTTGTGGCCCAGCCCAGCGCCAACTTCCTCACACGCCGCTGGCCGGGTGTGGGGCGCACTGAGGGCATGACAATGGTCTTGCACACCCTTCGGGCCAACGCGCTTACGGGCCAAAGCGTATGACAGCGGAGCAGATGGGCTAGTGCGTCCGCTGGGGGTGACAATGTAAGGGGCTGAGGTGGTGCAGAGCATCTCTCAGCCTCAATGCCACACTGTGCAGTAGGGGAGGCCTATCCATCCTGTCGTGTGGACCATAAAGTTGTTGTGGACTGTTCGAGGGTTCGATTGTGACTTCAGGACCTTCAAGCTCCGCATTTGGGTGCTGGAGGATAGTTTCAGGAATGGTCTGGCTCGGGCTCGTGTCTATGCAAAGCCGTCTGGGTAGCAGGCTTTGTTACGCTTTCTTGTCAACCTGCGGGATGAGACCTCACAACCATTGCGCAAAGTAGTACAGGAATATTGTTCCAGTATAGGAAAATCAAATGGCAAAGACAATGGAGAATGAAATGGAAGCTATTACTTTATTTAGTGATTAAATGATTTGGGTTCAGGAGATAATTACTCGACACGGCAAGGCTTCCGGGATCATTTGCGTCTCCTATTGCGTGAACGCTAAACTAAATCTCAAACCCTAAAAGCTAAACCCCCAGAGTTTGAGATCTGTGAGGGTTTGGAGCGGACCGGCTTGTGGCGCAACTGGGTACACCGAAGAATCGGTGCAAAAAAAGTCCAAGAGCAACATGGGCCCGCGATGTGGGAAGCCGTCTTGGCAAGTGAGCTCTTGCGACGTGGCAATGCGGTCGAAGGTTCTTGCGTGTCTGCTGGTTCAGGGTCTGCAAAGGTCTCAGTCGAACAGGAGTGAGGGAGTGCATGAGTCCGCTCTACCACTTGGTCACCATGACTGTCGCCTGACTGTTGCCAGCAGGACAAGGGAGTGTTTAAAGAGACCCAAAAACTCTACCTGGGACGTTAGGCTCCCTGGTGCACTAAAGCCTCAAGTCTCCATTCTTTTTTCCATCGCCTCAGTTCCCACAATGCACCAGGTAGCAGGTCTGCGCCCCGCCCTGCAAAGGTGGCCCACCGCGAGGGTGCCGGGCCGGGCTGGGTGAAGCCTGGCCCTAACAGCTACAAGGCAAACAGCGGGGTGGAAAGGGTTTAGGGAGTTTGGGTTCAGGGTGGGGGCGTGAAAGTGCTCCGGTTTTGGGGTGAAGGATTTCGGGGTCTGCACGAGCTATGCTCGTCTACAATCAGTCCATATCCTCCCCTAGCCTTTACTGCTGAAATCGGAAGGGTATGCAGGTTTTGGTCCAAACTAATTAACATGGAACCCCCCCAAAGGGTGTATAAAGACCACCCTCCTTACATGTGGTTCTAGATTTGTTTCTAGGAGGATAGTCGCCATGCCACCTGTGGTGTGCTGCATCTGCAGGCAAAAGCGAAGCGAATCTTCGGCGCCGACAAGGTTGGGTCTTGGCCTTGACATGGGAGTTGGGGTTGGGGGGTGGTCGGGTGTACCGCAGGCGTGGGGGATTCAGAGTACAGTACAGGGTTTAGTGTTGATTGTTTGGCGCGTCGCAAGCTCATCCCATGATGCCTAGTCCCGCGCCGACAGCATTCCTGGAGACCCGACCTAACAGGCATCAATCGGTTCTGAAGCTGCCCGGTATTGCTCCTTCCGTGCCTTGGCCACACTATTTCTGCTTGGCTGCTGTTGGACGGACAAAACATGAGGCTTCAACTAGGCAGTTACTGCGCCACTGCTAGTGTGAGGCCTAGTTAGGCAAGTGGGAGCGTGTTTCGAAGTTGCAGACTCTCAAATCGTATTACATAAAACAAAGTCGCCTGCGAGGTATGCTGCCCAAGCCGGCGGTGACCTTCCGAACTCTGCACTCCAAAGGCAGTCTGAGTACGCGACGCCAATGAAAAGAGTTTAGATGCACCCTACAAATGAGGAACCTTGTAACCATCATATGAGGCTTATAGGTTCTTGAGAATTGAAGTTGGGATTGCCAACATCATCTTATTAGATGCTTTGTTGTGCGAGCCCAGGACTTATTGAGGGCAGCCCAGGCCCTGATGTTCTAAACAAGTGGGTTTCCCAAAACAGGGCCGCTTGTTGGAGTCCCCACAATCAGCATGCAACATATTTGGGTCCATATTAGGGCACCCAGAAATCAAGCCCACAAGCTGTGGGGAGGCCTCTTTGGACAGATCGAGCTGAACATGGAGGATCTGCTTTCTGCCGCGCATATCGAACCTAAGCTTTGGGGTTTAGGGCTTGGGGTTCAGGCGCTTCAGCCAAAGAGCACTGCAAAGTGGGCACTGAAAACTGCATGGGTGGTTTGCAGCGGCTTGAGGCGTAGGGGCTTCCAAGGATTGTGGGCCCCTTATGTTCCTTTTTGGGGTCATTGGGCACATATATATATATATATATACACACACATTTGTTTTATGGGATTGTCGTGGGCTCAGGGTTTCCAAAGTTAACGCTTCAGGGTCGTTTGGTGTGGTCCAGTAAACGGCTTCGGCAAGAGCGCCCCTGAGTTTTTGGAAACTAGGTAACACCGGAGCTCTAGACATATTTATACAACTAAAAGTAGTCCCTGTAGAATCCCTGTGGCTCTACTTTGGATGAAGGCTTTGCAGAATCCCTTCGATGAATCTCTCACAACTATCCATGAACCTCCAAGCAGGAATTCAACACCCGCTTCCGCGATGCAGGAACTGGCAACCTGGCTATGTCACGCTACTATAACTACCAGGGTTTCAGCTGTAGGTGGCTGGAGTCTAGGATTTAGGCATGGGGACCTGATGCAAGGCGGTTTTCATTATCATGCTTTTTCTTGTACAAGTTTCCCCAAGTTCTCCAATGGCGGTTATGAAAGATGGGTTTAGGGTGATTCGAGTCTCTTTAGTTGAGCTCCTTTATTGCGTTCTTACTCTAAAGTTCGAGGTAAACCTAGGGGGACCTAACTTTGACTGTCCTTGAACACACAAGCGTTGCGAAGAGTTGTCCTCAAACCATGTGGATGTTTCTCCAAATCAAACATGCTCATATGATGCCTTGTAGGTCTCCCAAGAATCCCCTTTTCCGGTTTTGAGAAAGCAACCCCTATTTGTGCTTGTGACTTCAGGCATTCTGCGACGAGAGTGCCAGGACTGCGCGGACAGCCACAAGAAGATCTACATGAGGCCCCAGGTTGTTGCACTCAAGAGGTTACAAGGATGGAGAGGTGGGTCCCAGGTTTCAGGCATGGAAGCTCGTCAGCAAACCTTCCAAAAGATTGCTTGTGGTGTAGCAGCGGAAGGCGCAAGAAGGGCCTTGACACGTGGGACGCCTACGGCGGAGTTGTGGCCACCTGGTCAGAACAAGGTGCGCAGGGCCTTCCTGAGGGCATCCAGCTTCATAGATTCGACAGCTGCAGCAACTAATTAGTGTTTAATCGGCAATGACGGAATGGAAAAGGTAATGCAAACCATAATCGTATTTGAGATCTAGGGTTTAGGGTAGGGGATGATTGACAAGATCGCTGTAGACTGTAGAAGTCCTTATCAAACCTCCTGTGATGGTCCCTACAATCTTTTGCCCAATTCCCTGCAAGGGAAATAGTTGCTACTACAGAGATCCATTCGCTCTGTCGTTACGGACCACCAGGTAAACTCTCACACAAACACACGCGCACACAAGCTGCTACGACAGGACTCCACACAGACTTTGACCTGTACTCGACGCTGCAGGACTTGACATGCCATACAGTCTCATGAACTAACGCAGCAAGTGAAAAATGGTGAAAAGGGAGCTGGCTTAGGGAGATTTCCAGCCTTTCCGAAGAGCCCAAATCAATCCCTAAACACAAGCAAAGCTGCACTTAAACCCAAGGATGCCCTGGATGACCGCCACGCATGGCTCAGATGCGACGGCGTCGGCAAAGATGTTGGATTCCCTGGCCCCCCAGCTGTGAAATCAGTCTGGTTTTGAGCGCGTTGCTGAGCGAAGTGGCTGAATCGAACCTTGTGACTCAGGAAACTGCGCGCCTGGAGAGGCCGGCATCAATGGGCAATGGACCGGGAGGGATTCGTGACCAGGGTTGAGTTTCTTCGCACAAATCTGTTTACCGTGCAGATAAGGAGAAGAGGGCATATGCACAACTGCCAGAGGTGCCGACAGAGCCGCAATGGACGTCTCTCTCACCAGGAGAGGGGCGGCAAAACTACAAGTATGCGGTCTATCAGGCCAGGGACTGGTAAGGGATTGGTTCAACGGCCTGGATTCCGTCCCAGAAACCAATTGTTGCAAGTCTTCAGGTCGGAGAGCGGAACGTACTGAACTTTGCGTTTCATGGAGATGGGCTTTGTAGCCCCTCGGCTCACATGCCGCGAGAGCCGAATTTCAACTTGAAGCAGCTTATTTCAAGCGCGAGCAAAGGCGGCGTGCCACTCCGTGCCACTTTGGGCGTTGAGTCAACCGAGGTTGCTGGTGTTTGTAACCTGCTTGGTTCAGAGTGCCATAGTCTGAGCAGCCCCGTGCCAGGCCTGCCAGGAGCTTTGTGCTGAGGAGGAGGACTGGAACCTCAACTCCTGAGCGCCTTGAATGTTGCAACGGGTTATATTTGGGCTACTTTAGTGGCTCCATTCCTTTACTCGATAGTCAAACGCGGGGAATCTCGGCTTATGACGGCGTGGAACAGCACGAGGAACTACTGTAGTCAGTCAGCTTGATGCAGGGATGAGCTGGGTGCTAATTGGACTAGGGAGACTCGCATGCTTAATCCCCAACCATGTTGGCTGCTGTCAGCAATCTTGACCTGTCTTTCGGCGCAGGATTGCGTTTTCGTGAGCCATGGCGATCCGACAACCTTGTCATGCTCCTTAGCAAAGATATGTTGTCGTACCTGCAATGCAACTCCATGCTACCATGACCTTCTGTTAAAGGCGCCCAGCCGGAAAACAGATGTCATAGATGCATGAAACAATGTCAGCAACTTATCGCCTTGATAACTGCTGGCTGGCAAGACGGCAACTAAAACTCCCCGAAGCAGGATGTGACCTGTCGAACGTGTCGCAGCATGATACAACAACACAGGGATCCAAACAGCCCAAAATAGGTATAGAGCCCCAGGGTACCTTCTGCCTGAGAGGTATGCAGTTTGGCGGTGCAAGCTGCGCCGCATTGCAGTTTCCTGCTTGTGACGCTCAGAGCTGCGGCTTCCAGACCTTTACAAAGCAGCGCGATGACGCTTTGGCCAAGAAGTCATAAGATAGTGCGGGCATGCAGTACGTCCAAATCAGAGGTGTATCCAGTGGATGGCAAGCCACTGTTCGTAGCTCAGACAGGATATGCTTCGCGTCCAAGGACCGAGTCAACTGCGAGTTTGTGCTGAATGACCAGATTGATTCCGTGCAAAGCCCAGCAGTCGCATCGGAACGCCTGCTTGAGTGGGGATAGTGATCAATGGGGGAATGAGTTACAGGGACTACGATTACATGCAGACTACTCATTCCCTACCTAAGTACCAGGTAGCTTACATATTCTGGAGGCCTGAGTAGCATCTTAGGTTTTCTATGGTGTGAACGTCACGGACCTTGTCACCCCCACTCCTGGTGGAGCTGCTACCAAGCGGGTTGGTGTGGTCGCCAAGCCAGGCAGAGATCCGCTAAACCCTGGGCCCCTAAACTGGGTGGTCGTGGTTGTTGAGCTTGTTGTGTTTGTGGTGGTGTTTGTGGTGGTGGTGGTGGTGGTGGTGGTGGTGGTGGTGGTGGTGGTGGTGGTGGTGCTGGTTGTGATTGTTGTTGTTGATGTTGTTGTTGTTGTTGTTGTTGTTGCATGTCATATGCTTTATATGTTTGGGATACCTGAACCGAATGTACATTAAACACGGCAGTTTTTAAAACCTCAACTTAACCCTACACCCCGAACCCGAGGGTGCTTACGACAAGGTTGCCTTTGAAAAGCTGCTATGTCTACACTCATCTTTGAGGGCGTTCTGATAAGGTGGGGACCTGCTTCAAATGCCACCTGCAGGTGAGTACCTCATCATCACAGGCCACAGCAAAGCAGGAGACATGAAATTCCGAGGCACGCGTGATTTGCTCAGCCATCACTGCACTTGCAGGGACCAAGCAACCAATTATGGTTATCATGTCCACAGTCTACCGTCAATTTGCCAGTGTTTACTCTTCTACTACAACTAAGCCAAGGGGAAAAAAGGGTTGCGAGCGGTTGAAAAGCCAAACCCCTACGCCCTAAACCCCAAACCCCAGCGCCCCCGCCCAACAGACTCAAACCTATAACTTGGCCCCAACACCTTTAACACTCAAACCCGAAAGGTGGTTTCTGGGCAGATTGCGGCGCAGCTCTACCTCCACGGCGCCTGGATGAGCTCTGGGACTCCTTCTGCTCAGATCCTGGGGCCTGAACCATAGCTTCTGGCTCATGGGTAGTTGTGTAGTTGTGCGTAGGGTTTCCAATAGGATTGGTATATCTATGGTTTTGAACCTGCACTTGAGGTAGGTGCCCATCAAAACCCGCGCAGAGGACGGAACTTCCAAGATTTTTTTTTTTCGTATCATGCCCTTCTAAGGAGTCCTTACAAAAGTGTCTGTCCTGTCTGTGGGATCCACAGTACCCTACTGAACCAAGCTTGAGGCTCTTGAGTAGTCTGGTAGTTATACGTTGGAGTACCAGTAGGATAGGTAGGTATAGTGTTGACCGTGTTGTGCGGCAATAGCAGCCCATGTTGCTCTGGGAACCTGGTGCTTACTTGTAAGGACACCGAGATCGATGAGGTGCATCGACGTGGTGAAGGAACAGGCTGGAGACCTCCAATGGTCAGGAGAGCTGGCCTACCGAGCAGTTGTGCAGTTTTTGGGGTCCCCTCAAGAATCATGAGCCCATCGAGAGTCTCCAACCTCGATAGTCCCCCAGCCCCCAGCTCTGGAACCTAGTCAGGCTGCATTGACGCAGCTTATGGCAAGGAGCACAGGGCAGGTCGCGTTCCCTAAGACCCTGGGAGATGACGGCATGCTCCTGGGAACGCACTGCAATGCACTGCACTCTATACTCTATGGCTTCAACATCCTCTGAATCCTTCTATGCCTCAGGAAGTATTGTGCTTTCCGCGCCGTGCCTGCCAAAATTCACCCAATTTGGAGCAATGCATGGCGCCACTGGCACGTTTTGCTGTGCTCGAGTCTTGTTTCTGGTGCGCTTGAGGGTGTCTGCGTCCTACTAGAACATGCCTAGGTGCAAAAGTGCCACGATCTTTGACAACTGGCCTGGCCCCCTCGGTGAGTTCGAGACAGTGACTTGTTTTGCAAGCCATCGTCTGATTGTGCCAGCGTTTGTATTTGCAGAACGGGGCTAGCTCGCCCTTCTCACTCTTGGGAGGCTTTCGCTTGCAGTTCAGCCTGCTCACTGGATGAAAGATGCAGATTCTTCGGCTATGGCAAGGCCATTGACACCTCACTCAGTATCTCCATACAGCTTGAAGGCAAGAAATACTCGAATCATGCTGGGAAGGATCCACGAGCTTTGTTCCCTCGTTGTGCCTTCTTTGAGACTTGCCGAGATCGACGACCGTACCCGCACCTTGTTCCGGCTAGGGTGCCGGGTGTAAGTGAGAGACAGAGAGCCTCACCCAGCAAAGGCAAGGCGACTTCCATGTCTACAAGGCCTGTTGAATCCATAACTAACAGCCGCTGTGACGATGACTTACCTTCCCTGGATTAGCCTGCTGTCCAGCAAGGCAGAGGAGGTACGCACTGAGCTTCGGTGCAGCTTCAAGCCGAATCCGGCCGGCACTCAGGGCATCTTCTACGGCGCGTGCCTCCTGCTTCGTGTCGCCACTGCTGTGGCAGAGCGCTGAATCCGGTTCGTGTGCCAGGTACATCCCGCAGACCAGCACTGTTCACATCAGCGTCAGGACATCCTCGTTGTCCTGGTCAAGTTGCAAAGTGGAGTTCCATATTCATTTGGCTAGCAGGCCTGGATCTTACCTGGTCTTCTTTGGTCCGCAGCTGGGCGGTTGCTCGGCAAGATAAGTCTTGGATTGATGCGAGTGTACAAAGGAAAGCAGCTTTCGTCAAAAGCCTTCTGTGCAGTGTGGGCTGGCACTTTCAGTGTCAGGTGGCAAGATGGTTTTGCATACGCTGGCCTTCAGTTTGCACACCTGATCCACATGCGTACAGATACAAGCAATTGAAATAAGCTCTCGGCCACGATTTCTGCAGCTCGACAGACACAACGATCACCGAACTCCCCAAAGCGTGGCACATGGAAAACGATGGATGTTTGTAGTTTTTTCAGAATCACTCTGCAAAGGGCTCATACTTGCACTGGCTAGCGTGGATGTGACCCAGGCGGTTTTTGGGCTGACTGTGGTGCACTGGCTCCACGCAGCACCATGCAGGAGACATGTTCAATCCTACAAATGCCCATGGGCCTTGACCGGTTGCACTGGTTTATTCCGATAGCCAAGTGGTTCCATCAACACTGAGCAGCCTCTGTCACCCTCAGACTTGAGGATAAGTCTCTCACTGAGTGGATTTGGGTCTCAGATTCTCACCTGACCCTAAATCCTCACCACGAATTACTGAGCCCCGAGCCCTAAATATCGAAACATCATGTAAACCGCAGGATGCTTGGGAAAGCTTCTGCTCCTCGGCAGGATCATCTGACATGCCATGTCAGACTTAAACCCATTCCGATGACAGCAGCGCTATGCCGATGGCAATGCATAGAGTCCGGCATACAGACTGCGAGTGGTCTAAGGCGACGCAAGCTTGGACACTGTGCACAAGATGGGTGCAGGTGAACCAGATAGCCAAAGATAAATTTGATGTCTATTCCAGGTTTCCGTTTGCAACGTGTAAGCATTTTCTGATAGCATTTGCGGCTTGTTTGATATTTCACGCCAGGGAAGATGTTTTACAAGAAGACTTCTGAGCGTGCAGTGTGCAGCATCTGCATCCTTGGAAGTGGAGGCAACGGCTGGCGGACCCCTCGGCTCTCGGCAGAAGACGAGCTTACCGGGTACGAGGGCAAGGAGTTTACCAAAGTCAACGCGTGTTGCTTGTCAAGCTGCAACATCCTCTCCAAGAGGGGCCATAGAAATGAGCGGTGGTCTGGCAGGAGCATTGTGCGTTCAGACTCAACCCGCATGCCCTGCAGTCCGCGCCAAAGGTGGGCGCTCCAGATTTCGTGGCTCAGCCCATCCACCTGCTTCATTTAGGCTGTCACAATTATGTTCCCTTTCTGGTTACCATGAGTATTGGGCGCCTCATTCTAGTTCGGACGCTCAAAGGGACCATAAGTCTGATATGGAGAGGTGGCCACCCAGCCGGAGCCAGCCTACAAGAAGGCCCAGGGATTGATTCCGTCTCACGCGACATACCCAAACTGGGCTTCTTGAAGCAAAGATGTCAGGCTCTGAGTGCTGGCCGGCGCTGGCTCCGGGGACCATCAGGGAAGGAGACCAGCCAACGTGCTTTCTTTGGGCGAGCAAAGTGAGCTTCTCTGGGGGGGCATGCAAGGACAGTGACGCTCCTGGGGGAGAAGGCCCAAATCAGCGCAAGGTTCTATCTTCAAGGAGTTTTAGGCTAAACTTTGGTACTCCGCTTTGCCAGGGCCGTTCTTTCCCATCATTATCTTAGCACGGGCTATTTTCAGAGTCGTAGCCGGAGTGCTGGTGTGCGACTCCCTCTGCAATTGTGACTCCTCATGCGGAGGTGATTACCTCAGTGGCGAATATGAAGTGCCTCGGCGACATGCGTGACAGTCATGTCAGACAGCAAAGTGAGGCATGATCCAGTGTATAGGCCAGCGCTGCAGTTTTCCACCACCAGAAAGCCTCATAAAGCCCGAAGCCATCAGTTCCCAAACCTCAAACCCGCTGGTGCGCTGCTGCAGGTGCACATGAATCGGTCCCTTGACGAGTGTCAAGGGCTCTGCAGCGATCGCCCCTGTGCCGCATTTGAGCAAATTTCAGCAGCAGCAGCAGGAGGAGCAGAATGGAAGTATAGTATGATTCTCACTCAATTCACAATTCTGCTTTCTTAGGCCTCTCCGTTTTTTTTGGGGTCTGCCCGAAGTGCCAGGCGCAGGTTCTTGAAGGTGCTTGACCTAGATAGGCTTCCCTCTATGTAACCTCAAAAGCAATATGGAGGACCCTAGAACTTCGAGGAAGACCAATGCCTCATTACATGTTTGTGAGGCGACTGGTGTTTGGGCCTTAACTACAAGCACACGGACGACTACCAGACGCTTAACGACTTCAAGGCCATGCAGCGTACAACTTCGGTGCTCGCAGACCCTGTGGCGGATGCAGATGTAGCCTTTTTGTGTCGTTACTCGCAAAAGTTGGCCTCTCAACACTGCAAGTCTCAAGCTTGCAACAGAACCTGTCAGCTAGAGTGTTGGCAGCAGAGATGTGTTTCAAGGAAATAGAATGATTTAGAGTCTTTAGGGTCCTGAAGTAGTGAATAGTTTCCTCCACCACAAGCAGCTCTTTGCCTGCTGTAGGCTCGCACCTGTCAGCTTGTGAGCAAGCTCATTGCAACAGACTCAGGCACGCGGCTTTGGATTCGGGGTGTAGGGCTTCTAGTTTGGGCTTAAGATCTGATAATGTTAAAAGCTACTCACCTGAAGTGCTCTAGTTTATGCCCTGAGCATATACAAAGCAGTTTTTGGACAGTGGACTTAGAACCTAGAGTGCCAATTCCTCCGTGATTGTCAAGCTCTGGAAACGTTTCTTGTTTGGGGTGTTTTTATTGACTACAAGGATGCAGGGCAGCAAAGCTTTAAGTTCCTGCGTGGTTCCCTGAGATGTGACGAACTTGGACGCCTACGAGAAGCGGGCAGAAGGCCTGGAAGTACACCGCAGTGCAGTTCTTCCTTTTGTGAGGGCGTTGAGAAATCGACCTGAGCTGCAAGAAATGAAGTTGGCTCGTGCCAGGCGTGGCGGATTCCACGCCGCTTAGCATACTTTGCTGCTCTCAGTCTCAGACACCGCCCACCCTGTTCAAGCCAAGGACTACCACAACGACTAAGGCCAAGAGCTGCTTTGACTTGTGTTTTCGGGTCTCTGCCTACTTGTATGTCATATGAGGGCTTTGACAACAGAATGTGAACCCTGTGCAGCAAGTGCCATGTGCAAGGCCTTCAGCTTCACGCTGGTGGGCCAAGGAATTTGTTCGAGAATCTTGGCTTCACGAGTGAGGGACTTCCTGTATCTCATAGTGAAACCAGGAAATAGTTGCAGGACTCATAGGCTCATAGGTAGTAATAATGGGAAGAAGGATACAGCAATTAATTTGCTAGCTCCTGGCTAAGGCTTGGATCGGCTTGATCATCATCCGGATGTGGGCTCCCGGGATGCGTGCCAGGCGGCCAGATGCCAAACTAGGGAAGCTGCCGTGG